ACTGAAGACTCAGATAAATCAGAGAGATATTTGGAAGTATTTCTTCAGCCATAGAGTTATCAGGAATTGGAAGTCTGGTGAGTGCTGTAGTGGAGGCAGAATCCATACATAGCTTTAAGAAGAGATACGATAAAACTCATGGAGCAGGGAGAGAGTGAACCTTGTAGCAACTAGCGAAGTGGCTGGTCCAGGAGATGCGATCTGATCCCTGTAACAACAAATAGTCGAGTACAAACACACACATCAAGACGGTACCCAGGACTCATCTTGGCCAGAGGCAAGGCAACTCTGTTTTATCTCTTGTTAAGCTGCGATAATTAGAACACGAGAGTTCCACTCTCCTTTTCTCACCTTGAGCAAGGACAGAGAAACTGGTACCTAATAACGAACAGTCAGGGCGTGTAGATGTGTGTTAATAGACTCCGTGTGCGTTAATCAAGCAGACCCAACAATATTCTACTTAAGTAATAGGGAACATGTTATTACACGTTAGGAATACTTTAACAGTCAGCAGGGTCAATGGTTATAAATAACTCAAACGACCTGCCACACGCACACAACAACTCACGCATGTAAGCACACTCTCACACACACATGTACATGAACACATAAGATATATATGTACAAACACAGCCAGTCATACACCTACTCAAACTGAAAGTGTGAATACATACACTCACACACCAGAAGCTATGAATCGACCCCTGCAACCACACTTAGGTGAGTACACAGGCACAGAGATATAGAAGGAAACAAAATGGGGTGAGGAAAGGGAGAAGACACTCATTATTCATGGACCTCCTGAGATAGAAGGGAAGACATGTTGAAAGAAGTCAGGGGGAGATTAAAGAAATCGAGAGCATCATCATGGTAACAGGAGAGGACACGACTCAACTGATAAATTTTCAAAGACTTGGGTGGATGTTGAGGGAAAAGAACTCCCCAATCAGATTGGCATTCAATTCAGAAATGATACAATACAAAATCCTGCAACAGAAGCCACTATTAACGGGTTTCAAAAACTACCAGTGAGTGTACCTCGACTGCAACAGAACACAAAAAGAAAGGGAACAACTGAGAGAAAGAGTAAGAATGCACCAGAGGCAGGAAGGGGAGACCAGGCAGGTACTGGCAGACATGGGAGAACATCCTTGAAGGGAACAGCAAACACAACCGCACACAGACCCACCCACGTCATCCTTTCAACCTCTACCACCTCACACCAACCAAGCACAATAACAAGAGCCAAGCTACACTCCACATTCACAGTCCTATTGAGCAATACTGCCACACCAGCAGATTACCATAATATCCAGACCTGCCTACAACACCCACAGTCAGCACTAACCCCTCCCACCTCCCAGAATTCGGTTCTAGTAAGGAAACTGAAGGTGTGATACACCAATGGAGATGGAATTACGAATAAGAGTGAAGAGCAGCAGAAAAGGATGACTGAGGCATCCCCGTATATCGTGGTAACTACAGACACAATGCTCACGGAAGTGTTAGATTAGGTGATTATTCATTGGTCTAATGCGTGGTGCAAAGAATATCTTCTCACTCTCTGTGAACACTTTTATGGTGCATCAGGAGCTGTGAATATGCACAACAATCAACCTGGCAACATTGTATTGATTAATTCAGAGCAACCTCAAGCATTGTAGCCACTGGGCAAGATATTAATATTATACCCAGACTCACAAGGTTTTGTTAGGAATGTCTGTGTGCTGTCGTAGTCACAAAATTCTTTGTACTAATAATAAATTCATTCCCTTAGAATTAAATAGCATACGACAAATTGGAAATAATTCTCTAAGGGAAAGTGACCTGATGAGTAATTGAAGACGGCGCTGACCATGATGTTCAAGGTGAAGAAGTCAGTATAAGGTCTACTAGGAGAACAGCAACTCAAGCTCAAGTTCACTTGAATGGTCTATAATGAGGAGTGATTTAGGTTATCTACAATGACCTCCACCCGGCCACAGTGTGGAAAATTTTGATAATTTTCCTCTGATTTTTGTACAATAATTGATTGGGATAATGGTGTTTATATAGTAGTGTAGGAGTGTAATGTTGATATGAATTTTGGAAAGTGATAATTCACAGGGTGACAAATATATCCCCTATAATTTTCTTATTTACTTTAATCAATTAAGTAAAAGGTAATTATTGTAATATTGGAAAAAATAAATTTAAATATGTGTACATTAAAAGAAAAATATGGCGTAATGGGACGACGAACAGACAAGTTTGTGAATATTTTATCGAGTGTAATCATGTCCGATAGAAATATTGTCAGCGCAGTTTCTTCACTACAAGATAAATGAAGAGGAAATACATCTGGAAGGACCCAGATATATAATGAAACAACCATAAAGGATGATATGGAAGAAAAACGGGAAGCGGTAGCTGTAGACGCCATATTGCCAACTAAATGTGTCATCCATTAAAAATATGCGCCTACCAGTGTGCATTACCCTCCACACAACAGGTAAGGTAGCTAAATATTGACCAAAATTCATATTGCCTCTTTGACGGGAGGCGTCAGGATATATTACCAATGTAATAAAGCTTTAAGTATATAAATTTATAATACGAAATTGTATGTTTAATAATTCGAGAATTAGCAATGCTTAAATTCATAACGTCACTAATTAACCACTGTTACTGGCATAAATTTTCATAATATACAGGAAATATATGTTCCTAATCCAGGGTCTTGGAGTTACTTGGGGAGGTGAGACAGTGGACACTGAAGGAGGGACATTGTGACCCAAATCTCACTGAAGCGCCACAAGTCTCCAAGAAACACCAACAGCAATAAGTTACAATTTCTATTTATGTCTTTAGTTCTTCGTAGTTATGTAGGTGGAAGGTTAATTCAAGATAATTTTCTTTTGAAAAATAACCCACATATAATTTGTAACAAGTATTATCCACTGGAAAATGTTAATGCGGAAGCAAACCATAAGACGGATGATAGTATAAATTTAGACTGAAGAGGCATAAATTTCCAGATTTAATAAGATTTCGTTCGGATTTTTAACCCCGGGGGGTTAGCCACCCAGGATAACCCAAGAAAGTCAGTGCGTCATCGAGGACTGTCTAACTTATTTCCATTGGGGTCCTTAATCTTGTCCCCCAGGATGCGACCCACACCAGTCGACTAACACCCAGGTACCTATTTGCTGCTAGGTGAACAGGACAACAGGTGTAAGGAAACGTGTTGAAATGTTTCCACCCGCCGGGAATCGAACCCGGGCCCTCCGTGTGTGAAGCGGGAGCTTTAGCCACCAGGCCACCGGGCCACCCCACCCCACCAGGCCACCGGGATTCAGAGTAATTATTGGAGAATGCCTTTTACGAAAGGCTTCAAACTTTCAGTGTTGAAGGGATTTATTAACTAGTCACACTAGTTAATGCTCCGAGTCCGACCGAAAAGTCGTCATAAGTTCCAGTCTCCCACACGCAGGTTATTTTCCTGAAGGATGTTTCTCCTTTATTTTAGGATGAATAAGTTTTAATTTGCTAATTTTATTAAATAAATTTGTTTCCCCAGAAAAAACTAGAGAATATCTTCTCATCAGGAATAAATCACAGTGCTTGACTTTGTTGGATTATTCTAGGTTACATCTACATAATTTAATTTTTCAACGCCCAAACATCTGTGAACCTAAAAGGCCGTTGTATATAAAATGAGGCTAATTACCCGGATCCTAAATATTAATTACCTGTTTTTTATAACATATATATATATATATATATATATATATATATATATATATATATAATATATATTATATATATATATATATATATATATACCTAATTACTCAATCCTTAAATACTTCTCATTATTACTTAGAGGACGATTTGGATTTTTTGCGGCCTTTGTAGGCCTCACTGCTTTTCTTTGAAGAAACTGGGAAACTAGAAACTATATTTTTCATTCTATAATTCCTGAGGGTTTCATCCGAATGTATTACAAACACAGGTGTAGTCTTATGGCCTGCACACCTGGTTGTGTAGTCTTATGGCCTGCACACCTGGTTGTAGCACAATAAACAAGGTAGAACTGAGGAACGAGCAAAATACAGCAGTGAGTAAATACTTATATATACTTCCTTCACCACAATAGCATGCAAGAATATGTATAACATTTACAGAGGATATGCACAGGAAGGTAATTTGCAAGTAAGAGACAGGGTAAGAATCGTCTTCGGCCAGACTTGGAGGTAAGTCCGCCAATGTTGCTTCACGAGTGTACCAGAGAGCTTGTGAGTGGCTGCGTTGAACCAAGTTGTTAGCATAACAAGGGGGCCCGCTCGTTATACTCTTAGCACCTGGTTTGCTGGTCAGGAGTGCATGCCTATATGGGTGTATGACATATTCTGTGACGTACTCTTACCATGCACATGAAAGCTCACAACTGATAACACATCTTCCGAATGGCTTCAGAATTAATGTGCTGCTGGTGCATAGTAGGATAGTGGTCACTCTGGGATAAAGAGAATATGCCCTTTTCAGTGGGAAGTTTGAATTAGTTTATGGTTGTGTCTGTCCTAATTGGCCATTTTTGATATAAAAGTTATGACATTATTTTCTACGTGATAACTTGTGAGTGTGTTTCAGATTCACCTCACATCTTAACTGCATTATGTCGCACTGTGCACTATTCCTATCACATTCACACAGGTAAAGGGGACCATGTAATACAAGGATACCTTTCTCATTAATGCAGCGACCGAACTAAATCTAGGTTCTTCTTGTAGTCAAAAAATTCATGGAACAGTTGACGAATGTGATAGATCTGCCGTAATTTGTTTACAGAAACCCTTGTGCATAGATGACAAACGTAATACCTTGCAGTAGTTATCACTGAAACAGGCGAAAAGTGAAAGCTTTACCATACAGTAGCTAAGATGACACAGGGTAGAAGTGTAACACCTACATTGTTGTAATTATAATTCTGGTAAGACAAGTGGGAAGCCAGAACTCACCTTGTAGTAGCCAAGATTCTCCACAACACAAGTGAGCTTAGCGGTGCGGCCCACCTGGGCCGTCACGTTCTGAATCGGCACCTCAAAATACGGCGACTCTGTAAAAGATGAAATTTGATATAAACTTAAGCTAAACCGAATAGTTGATTTACATGAAAACGTTAATAAATTAAGAGTTTAAATTAACTTAAGATATTTAAATTCATTAGAGATATAATAACTAACCTAAACATTGAGTGTCCGTGGTTCGATCCCCGGTACGGGTGGAAACACTGGCTTGTTTAATTAAGACACCTGCTGTCCCATTTCAACTAGCAGCAAGTAGGTACCAGGTGTTAACAGCAGTGGTGTGGGTCGCCTACTGGGGACAAAATTAACCTAAGTTGCTTTCTATACAGAATGTAATTGATGTCAGCTATGGTATGTATAAGTTGTATCATGTATTTGTAGAAATAAAGATTATTATTATTATTATTATTATTATTATTATTATTATTATTATTATTATTATTATTATAACAGTCAATTAACATACGTAATAAAATTACGTAAACAATGAAAGTTATTTTGTGAATATTTATAGAGAAAATCGAATGTTTAGTTAAATATCTGAGGAATTAATACCAGAAATATAAAATCATAACATGTTAGAAGGATTTTAGTTTGGGTAGTAATCTCACGTGTTACTTCCCAGGTGTTGAAGATAACACCTGAACAACGATAACAAGATAACACCGGTTGGAACAATGATCAGTAATTAACCTTGTTCAGACAAAACTGATCATTCTGTTAAAATGAACAATTTTTTCGGAATTTGAAAGTGTAAATATCGACTGGAAAATACCACAGAGATCGTCAGAATTATTTGTTTTTCAAATATGTTCTCTAAACAATGTTCTAACATGTTCTCTAAACAATGTTCTAACATGTTCTCTAAACAATGTTCTAACATGTTCTGCAAACAATGTTCTAACATGTTCTCCAAACAATGTTCTAACATGTTCTCTAAACAATGTTCTACATGTTCTCTAAACAATGTTCTAACATGTTCTCCAAACAATGTTCTAACATGTTCTCCAAACAATGTTCTAACATGTTCTCTAAACAATGTTCTAACATGTTCTCCAAACAATGTTCTAACATGTTCTCCAAACAATGTTCTAACATGTTCTCCAAACAATGTTCTAACATGTTCTCCAAACAATGTTCTAACATGTTCTCCAAACAATGTTCTAACATGTTCTCCAAACAATGTTCTAACATGTTCTCCAAACAATGTTCTAAAATGTTCTCCAAACAATTGTCTAACATGTTCTCCAAACAATGTTCTAACATGTTCTCCAAACAATGTTCTAACATGTTCTCCAAACAATGTTCTAACATGTTCTCCAAACAATGTTCTAACATGTTCTCCAAACAATGTTAACATGTTATCCAAACAATGTTCTAACTGTTCTCTAAACAATGTTCTAACATGTTCTCTAAACAATGTTCTAAATGTTCTCTAAAACAATGTTCTAACATGTTCTCCAAACAATGTTCTAACATGTTCTCTAAACATGTTTTAACATGTTCTCCAAACAATGTTCTAACATGTTCTCTAACAATGTTCTAACATGTTCTCCAAACAATGTTCTAACATTGTTCTCCAAACAATGTTCTAACATGTTCTCCAAACAATGTTCTAACATGTTCTCCAAACAATGTTCTAACATGTTCTCTAAACAATGTTCTAACATGTTCTCTAAACAATGTTCTAACATGTTCTCCAAACAATGTTCTAACATGTTCTCTAAACAATGTTCTAACTTTTCTCTAAACAATGTTCTAACATGTTCTCTAAACAATGTTCTAACATGTTCTCCAAACAATGTTCTAACATGTTCTCTAAACAATGTTCTAACATGTTCTCCAAACAATGTGTCTAACATGTTCTCTAAACAATGTTCTAAACATGTTCTCCAACAATGTTCTAACATGTTCTCTAAACAATTGTTCTAACATGTTCTCCAAACAATGTTCTAACATGTTCTCCAAAACAATGTTCTAACATGTTCTCCAAACAATGTTCTAACATGTTCTCCAAACAATGTTCTAACATGTTCTCTAAACAATGTTCTAACATGTTCTCCAAACAATGTTCTAACATGTTCTCCAAACAATGTTCTAACATGTTCTCCAAACAATGTTCTAACATGTTCTCCAAACAATGTCTAACATGTTCTCCAAACAATGTTCTAACATGTTCTCTAAACAATGAAACAGATTTCTTGGAAATTATTTTGTTAAAAACTATAATGTTAAGTACCAAATTTGAGATCAAAAGGATTATATCTTAATTTGAATTGTAAAACCCTTTCATTATATCTTTATCTTACATTATAAACCTTCTCAGTAATATCTTTATCTTACATTATAAACCTTCTCAGTATATCTTTATCTTACATTATAACCTTCTCAGTATATCTTTATCTTACATTATAACCTTCTCAGTATATCTTTAACTTAATTATAAAACCTTCTCAGTATATCTTTATCTTACATTATAAACCTTTTTCAGTATATCTTTATCTTACATTATAAACCTTCTCAGTTATTCTTTATCTTACCCTTATAAACCTTCTCAGTATATCTTTAACTTACATTATAAACCTTCTCAGTATATCTTTATCTTACATTATAAACCTTCTCAGTTATTCTTTAACTTTCATTATAACTTCTCAGTATATCTTTATCTTACATTATAATCCTTCTCAGTATATCTTTAACTTACATTGTAAACCTCAGTATATCTTTATCTTACCCTTATAAAACCTTCTCAGTATATCTTTATCTTACATTATAAACCTTCTCAGTATATCTTTATCTTACATTATAAACCCTTTTCATTCAGTGTTTTAACACTAATTACCTTAATATAATTCTACACAAAAATAAGGTAATTTGAACTTGGTTCATAAAAGTTACTTTTACACGACACAGTTATATAACATTATCTGTGAGTGCACAAGAACCTGTGCACTCTGCAACACACTACACAAACACAGTTATATAAACATTATCTGTGAGTGCACAAGAACCTGTGCACTCTGCAACACACTACACAACACAGTTGTATAAACATTATCTGTGAGTGCACAAGAACCTGTGCACTCTGCAACACACTACACAACACAGTTATATAAACATTATCTGTGAGTGCACAAGAACCTGTGCATCTGCAACACACTACACAACACAGTTATATAAACATTTATCTGTGAGTGCACAAGAACTGTGCACTCTGCAACCCCACTACACAACACAGTTGTATAAACATTATCTGTGAGTGCACAAGAACCTGTGCACTCTGCAACACACTACACAACACAGTTATATAAACATTATCTGTGAGTGCACAAGAACCTGTGCACTCTGCAACACACTACACAACACAGTTGTATAAACATTATCTGTGAGTGCACAAGAACCTGTGCACTCTGCAATACACTACACAACACAGTTATATAAACATTATCTGTGAGTGCACAAGAACCTGTGCACTCTGCAATACACTACACAACACAGTTATATAAACATTATCTGTGAGTGCACAAGAACCTGTGCACTCTGCAACACACTACACAACACAGTTGTATAAACATTATCTGTGAGTGCACAAGAACCTGTGCACTCTGCAACACACTACACAACACAGTTGTATAAACATTATCTGTGAGGGGCACAAGAACCTGTGCACTCTGCAACACAATACACAACACAGTTGTATAAACCCTTATCTGTGAGTGCACAAGAACCTGTGCACTCTGCAACACCACTACACAACACAGTTGTATAAAACATTATCTGTGAGTGCACAAGAAACCTGTGCACTCTGCAACACAATACACAACACAGTTGTATAAACATTATCTGTGAGGCACAAGAACCTGTGCACTCTGCAATACACTACACAACACAGTTATATAAACATTATCTGTGAGTGCACAAGAACCTGTGCACTCTGCATACACTACACAACACAGTTATATAAACATATCTGTGAGTGCACAAGAAACTGTGCACTCTGCAATACACTACACAACACAGTTATATAAAACTTATCTGTGAGTGCACAAAAAACCTGTGCACTCTGCAACACACTACACAACACAGTTGTATAAACATTATCTGTGAGTGCACAAGAACCTGTGCATCTGCAACACACTACACAACACAGTTGTATAACATTATCTCTGAGTGCACAAGAACCTGTGCACTCTGCAACACATACACAACACAGTTGTATAAAACTTATCTGTGAGTTCACAAGAACCTGTGCACTCTGGGAACACACTACACAACACAGTTGTATAAACATTATCTGTGAGTCACAAGAACCTGTGCACTCTGCAACACACTACACAACACAGTTGTATAAATCATTATCTGTGAGTTCACAAGAACCTGTGCACTCTGCAACACATCTACACAACACAGTTGTATAAACATTATCTGTGAGTGCACAAGAACCTGTGCAAATCTGCAACACACCACACAACACAGTTGTATAAACATTATCTGGAGTGCACAAGAACCTGTGCACTCTGCAACACACCACACAACACAGTTGTATAAACATTATCTGAGTGCACAAGAACCTGTGCACTCTGCAACACACCACACAACACAGTTGTATAAACATTATCTGTGAGTGCACAAGAACCTGTGCACTCTGCAACACACTACACAACACAGTTGTATAAAATATCTGTGAGTGCACAAGAACCTGTGCACTCTGCAACCACACTACACAACACAGTTGTATAAAACATTATCTGTGAGTGCACAAGAACCTGTGCACTCTGCAACACACTACACAACACAGTTGTATAAACATTATCTGTGAGTGCACAAGAACCTGTGCACTCTGGGAAAACACTAACACAACACATTGTATAAACATTATCTGTGAGTGCACAAGAACCTGTGCACTCTGCAACACACTACACAAACCACAGTTGTATAAACATTATCTGTGAGTGCACAAGAACCTGTGCACTCTGCAACACACTACAAACACAGTTGTATAAACATTATCTGTGAGTGCACAAGAAACCTGTGCACTCTGCAAAACACACACACAACACAGTTGTATAAAACATTATCTGTGAGTGCACAAGAACCTGTGCACTCTGCAACACACATACACAACACAGTTGTATAAACTTATCTGTGAGTGCACAAGAACCTGTGCACTCTGCAACACACTACACAACACAGTTGTATAAACATTATCTGTGAGTGCACAAGAACCTGTGCACTCTGCAACACGCTACACAACACAGTTGTATAAACATTATCTGTGAGTGCACAAGAACCTGTGCACTCTGCAATACACTACACAACACAGTTGTATAAACATTATCTGTGAGTGCACAAGAACCTGTGCACTCTGCAAAAACACTACAACACACACTTGTATAACATTATCTGTGAGTGCACAAGAACCTGTGCACTCTGCAATACACTACACAACACAGTTGTATAAACATTATCTGTGAGTGCACAAGAACCTGTGCACTCTGCAATACACTACACAACACAGTTGTATAAACATTATCTGTGAGTGCACAAGAACCTTTTGCAAATCTGCAACACACTACACAAGACAGTTGTATAAACATTATCTGTGAGTGCACAAGAACCTGTGCACTCTGCAACACGCTCACACAACCCCAGTTGTATAAACATTATCTGTGAGTGCACAAGAACCTGTGCACTCTGCAACACACTACAAACACAGTTGTATAAACTTATCTGTGAGTGGGACAAGAACCTGTGCACTCTGCAACACGCTACACAACACAGTTGTATTAAACATTATCTGTGAGTGCACAAGAACCTGTGCACTCTGCAACACACTACACAACACAGTTGTATAAACATTATTGCGAGTGGCACAAAAACCTGTGCACTCTGAACACACTACACAACACCAGTTGAATAAACATATCTGCGAGTGCACAAGAACTGTGCACTCTGCAACCACACTACACAACACAGTTGTATAAACATTATCTGCGAGTGCACAAGAACCTGTGCACTCTGCAACACACTACACAACACAGTTGTATAAACATTATCTGTGAGTGCACAAGACCTGTTTCACTCGCAACACTCTACACAACACTTTGTATAAACATTATCTGTGAGTGCACAAGAACCTGTGCACTCTGCAACACACTACACAACACAGTTGTATAAACATTATCTGTGAGTGCACAAGAACCTGTGCACTCTGCAACACACTACACAACACAGTTGTATAAACATTATCTGTGAGTGCACAAGAACCTGTGCAATCTTCAACACTACACACACAGTTGTATATAACATTATCTGTGAGTGCACAGAAACCTGTGCACTCTGGGAACACACTACACAACACAGTTGTATAAACATTATCTGGGAGTGCACAAGAACCTGTGCACTCTGCAAACACACTAACAACACAGTTGTATAAACATTTCTGTGAGTGCACAAAAACCTGTGCACTCTGCAACACACTACACAACACAGTTGTATAAACATTATCTGTGAGTGCACAAGAACCTGTGCACTCTGCAACACACTACACAACATTGTATATACATTATCTGTGAGTGCACAAGAACCTGTGCACTCTGCAACACACTACACAACATTGCATAAACATTATCTGTGAGTGCACAAGAACCTGTGCACTCTGCAACACACTACACAACATTGTATAAACATTATCTGTGAGTGCACAAGAACCTGTGCACTCTGCAACACACTACACAACACAGTTGTATAAACATTATCTGCGAGTGCACAAGAACCTGTGCACTCTGCAACACACTACACAACACAGTTGTATAAACATTATCTGCGAGTGCACAA